ATAGAATAGAATAGAATAGAATAGAATAGAATAGAATAGAATAGAATAGAATAGAATAGAATAGAATAGAATAGAATAGTGTTCATTGTGCATGATCAATGCTAGGTATCAGAACAGTTGGCTAGGGTCACTAAGAGCTGAAATTTAAGGCACATCTGCAGGGTCAAGTAGCCTATACAATACTACATAGAATGAGATGAAAAAATAAATGATGTAGAACAGACTGAACTGGACTCAACTCAGACATTGGTGACCACTTTCTTTTTAGTTTCTGCTATCAATAGCCAAGATCAGTGATGGTGAACCTTTTGGCAACGAGTGATGAAAAGGGAGTGGGTGCACTAGTCTGGACCACAACCCAGAAGAGGAACTGTCCAGGGGGATGCCCATGCCGGAAAATGAACTTCTGCTCTCTGGCCCGTGCATGGACAGTCTTCCAGTTACTGGCACAGGTGCATGTGACAATCACCTAGCCAGCATGCATGCTCACACCAAAAAACGGAAGACCAGTTCTTCCAGTTTCCGACACTGCCACATGCACAAAGGCCAGCTGATTGTCGCTGGTTCATGCATGCCAGAAACTGGAGACACCGCATGTGCCAGGCAACATGGCTCTACATGCCACTTTGGGTACATGTGCCGTAGGTTCACCATCACGGCCCTAGACCTTAAAACAGGTTTTAAGCAATATACAGTATATGCCTTTTATCAGAACTATACATATAGATATAATGACCAATATAGCAAATAGAAATGCTTCAGCAACTACATTTTCTAATCTTCTTTTCCCTTAGTTGACAACAGTTCTTACTATGGGCTATTATAGCCATGGTTGTTTAGGATTTCTGATCCAACATACTGTATATCTAAAGTTTGTCAAGTTGAAGAATGCTACTCTACAGTTGTTCAATAAGGCAAAATAATATAGCAATACTTCTGTGCACTTAATCTATAAAAAGGATTATTCAACTAATCTAATGTATGGATTAAAAGCTTTTTCTCCTTTTTCCTTTGAAATCAAGAATTTGAAAACCAGCCAAAATTGCTTAAAGAAAGATGGGACTGAGTTTTGTCCTATTTATAGCTACATGGAAAGCATTTGACGTTTCTGGATCACATTGGCCGTTCTTTTGGGGTGGAAGAGGAGTCTTGGTTTCCTCTTATGAATTGCTCTTTTAATCAAATAAATATATATATTTTCACGCATTTTGAGTTGACATTTCTTGGAAATTTGAGAACATTTTTGGATAAGAATCATAGGAACCAATTAATCAGCAATGGGGTACAGCTATCTAGAAAAAGAGAGGGATTTGCACAAAAGACTTTTAATCTTTGCTTTTAAAAGCAAAAACCCTGCAGAATAATACATGACATAATTTAGACACAGAATTCTGCACATAATGGTGGTGTTGTACATGCCTGCTTGCTTCTTTGCCCTTCTTTAAAAGTATTTAGCTTCCAGAGCCTAAAGTAAAGTCTCCCCTGAATTGTATTCAACACCTAATGGACCAGGACACATTGATGTATGCTTCTTGGCAGCAATAAAGATGTGGTTTGCATTCTTCTGGGAAGTCTTTCTTTAAATCTTTCCAATCTAATCTAGAATTTCCTGCTGGTCTTTGCCAAATACTAATCATGTCTGACTCTGCGTAGGTTTTTAAAGATAAGTGCTGCCATCCACATATAGCAGTATTTAAGATGTATAAAAGATACCATGACATATTATTAAATTATAGGCATATCAATTATGTGGTCCTCTTTCCAGGTCCTCCTCTTATATGCATAAGGCAGTACAATGATGTAGTTCAACAATATTTTTCACTCCAGAGTATACTCTTCCCTATGTCAAAAAGTATTCAAAAAGGAGGAGGAGAAGCCAATGTCGCGACGAGATAGTTGTGTGGTCTCAATGCTCCGAGACCACAGCCAATACTTTTGCCACTGGGTGGTCCCAATAGACCTAAACTGTCCTGAAGAGACGGTGAACAGGACAATATCTTGGGGATATCGCAAAATCCTTGAAAGAAGCAAGAGAAGATCTTCAAGCCAGTGACAAAAATTCCAGCCACAAGGCTGACAAAGTCGGGGCAGCCCAAAACGGAAGGATATGGAAAGAGAAAGTGTTTTCGGCTGGTAAGGATTTTTTATTGTTTTAAAAAATAGTCTGCCTATAAAAACTCAAAAATAAATTTAAATTACAGAATAGAAGAACTAAGCAGCAGAATTTAATTTGGAATGGTTTTGGACAGTGGTTATCTTCCTTTTTAAATGTTATTTACATGGATCGAATCTANAAAACCCAAATTTCATGTTCTTACTCTGGATGTACCCAAACTTCTAAGTTTTTGATTGATTTTGGCTTTAAAAAGGAAGCTGACCTATTTAGATTGCACCATATAGGTAGTAAATCCCTACGTAAGTAGAATGGAAAGTCAAGTACAGTCAATTAAATAACACAGCGGATAAAATGATTATGCTTGTTCAATATAGTTGCTGTATTCACTTAAACCTTAGTAACCCAGAAGACCTCACTACCAATAAGACAATTAGTTAAGGATTAGCTACATCCTTCTTTAAACAGAAGAGTTTCTCTGTTTCTCACCAGGATTAATAATTGGCGTCAGGGATGGTGGGATGTCACATACTTCATAAATTTTAATTGGATTCATTGGCACTTCTTTGGTACCATCGTATATGAGCTTGAATTCACGGCTTTTGTTGAGAGCACACCGTAGTTGGGCTTTCCATTTTGCAGGGTCAGGATCATCAACCCCTTCTTGATACTTTCCTGTTTCCACAGCCCACGCCTGGGAACAAAGTACATGAGTTAATGTTGTCATTATGCCAACTTCTGTTGAATTGTGCTGCCAAACAAACTCTTGTCTATAAGATACACCTAGGCAATAAATACTTTCTGCAACGGATAATTGTTTCCTTTCTCAAGCTTTTTCTAACAAGATACTTGACTGTTAAAACAAATCAACTCAATGTTACAATTCCTTTTTAAAAAAATGCAGAATTGAATTCCAGGTTTATCTAGATAAAAATAATTCACTATCTTCAGGAATAAAAGAAAAGAGGAAACCTATACCAAACCAAAAAACCACAAACAAATGCCTTTATTCCCTGATTATTTTTCTTTATAAGATTGTCAGAAATGGTTGCCTGAAAAATCTTCCCTATTTATACAAATAGCATGCATTGCTGAAATTTACTTCATGAAAACAATTGTACATTCTTTTTTAAAAAAAAAATCAGATGAATACAATCCTCAGCAAAATGCTGAGAAGAAAATCCAACAGAGTTGAATGAGGCTAACTCCAAAGAAAGTTTAAGATTAAGAACTTTAGCAACAAGTGACAAGAACAGAGGTGAACAGTTGAAAAGTAGATAATTAAAATGTTGAATCTGAAACTTCTCAGAAGGAAAGCCACAATACACCAGGAAAATTAGTTCTGCTATTGCACAAAGTACACAGTATAGGTAGAGATAAGTCTGAAGGGGATTTTTATCTACTAATTACCTCAAAGCCTATCTGAATATGTTTTGTATATCGCTTTGCCCTTCATTTGTCCCTGTGTGTTAATGCCTTTGTACTGCATGCATGCTTCTGCACCTAGGATTTCAGGTTCAGAATGCGGTTCTGCTTATGAAAATAATGCAGGATATATCTCCATCAGGTTGCATCAGTGAACATGTGAACCATTTTATTGCTTACAAAACAGCAAATTTAAGACTATATGTATACTACTTTTGCTATTATTAATTTCATTGTCCATCCATTGAAGAGAAAGAGACAGAGAGGGAGGGACAGAGTAATCCCATTCTATCAAGTAGCATACCAGCAGAACTGGGTTTTTCAGTTACCTTAAAAATTGTATTTTCTTCTTCATGCTGAGGACTATGCCGAGTTGCATGCTTCCAAGGAATTTGAAATCGCTTTGCATCCCTATTAAGCCACAGAAGACCTGGATACATTCCACTGTCTACTTGAGCTACTAGCCAGGGTTTCAGTCGAACTCTGCGTGGATGTGATGCCATTATCTAGAAGGATAAAATACACACAGAAAACAATGAAGAGTTTGTAGGAATTCTCATTTTCTAAAGAATAAAGCAATAGAAACCAATTGTGATTGTAATCACATTGCTCTGATTTTCTTGTAACCAACTCTTCTATCAACTCATCTGATTTCTTTGAGAGGTTAACTTAACTTTTTCAGTATACCGAGACTACCAACTGTCACATAGGCAAAACAATTATTCAAACTGAATTAAGTTATGCACAGTGTATCTTTACAATGAAATATAGCAGCATGTATAGAAAATGGGGGGAGGACAATTCCCACAACCTGGAATATCATTTTCCAGAATTTAGATTTGCAATGGAGTTGGCAAAGATAATATTAAAAGGTTATATTAAATGGAATCTCCAAAACTATAGGAATTGTCAAAGGATGTAAAGCTTTTAAAAGGTACCAAAAATAACTAAAAAGAGCTCTTTGGATCTTTTGGAAATGAAAGGAAAATTAAAGAAACCGTAATTCCATTGTAAGGAAAAAATAATGGACTTCGGGGGGAAACGGTGGACAAAAGAGCCAACAAACAGATCAGTTCTTTGTAATTCCTCTCCAGACCAGTAGATGTTTGAGATCACTCATAAATGGCCCAGATAGTTGTTCCCTGTGAGGACATTACACAACAAAATCTCCAGCAAGTTTAAAATTCTGGGAAATGAGGGAATAGTCACCTTGCTCAAATTGGGGCTGATGCCTTTAAAAAGATACTCAGTTCCCTGCTTCCTTTTCTAATCACCTTGGAAAATTGCTTACGATCTGCTTGGAATTGGCAAGTTTTATAACACTGGATGATTTTCCTTCAAATGTCTGGGGAAAAAAACTAAATACAAGTGTGTGGTTTTGGGAATAAGCAGTAAAAGAATAACTGAAACTTTTTTTGAAAGTTACAAACAGACAAGTGTTAAAATTACATTTAAAAATTGAACATTAGAGAGAACTAAAACAAACTAGATTACAGTTAAAGGGGAATTCAATGTTGAATTCAATTTAAAAATATAGAATGAAGCTAAATACTTCAACATTCAACATATGGAAGGATCTCTTCAACAATAGCCTCAGAAGTTAATTTTAAGGGTGTCTGCCTCTATAGATACACCGTGTTTAAAATATGTTATGGAAGAGGAACTAGTTTTACCTGACAGGATTGAGATTGATTTGAAAAAGGATTTAAAAATGACAAGTTATAACAATGACATGGAAAAAGATACTACACTGGATGTACCAGATGATGTCTTGATAATTAAAAGAGATATACAAATAACAAATCAAGAGTGACCTAGATAACTTTTCTATATTGGATTTACAAAAGAAACGTGTTAAAGCTTTGAAGAACTTTGTGACAAGGGACAAAGATAAAATTAAAAGAAACCAAGTTATCGGTTTCAAACTTAGGTTTGAAGGAACTAAAGACCAAGATTGTTAAAAGTAAAAGGAAGAAATATGTTTGGTTTATTTGATCAAGATTAAAATACAGAAGGAGGAAGAAGACTCAGAAACCATAGACTTGTCAGCTTGACATATTAGGCAAAGCCTCTGACAGAAATATGTCGGACTGTGAACATTTAGGTGAAAAAAAGAACCAGCATAGATTTGTTGCAAGCAAATTGTACCAAACTAGCTAATCTCCTTCTTTGAAAGAATAACTAGTAGATCAAAGTGGATAAAAAAAATAAGTAAATGAAAGAAAATAACATAGACATACCTGAACCTCAGCAAAACATTCAACAACATTCTCTTTCATACAAGAGATTCTCTTTCATACAAAGGTAAAATATAGACTACATGATAATATAATTAGATAAAAGCTCAGCTGACTGACTGTACTCATTAATGGCTTGACGTCAGGTTAAAGAGGAAGCTTGTGTTCTATGACTTTGTGGTCTAGGTTATATATTGTACAACATATCTAATATTACATGAGCGCATACAGGAAAAACCTAAAACTGTGAGGCTTGTCTAATAATTTAGATCAGTGGTTCCCAAACTTTTTCAGTCCACCACTCCCTTGGTGCTACAAACTGATCCTCAGTGCCCCCCACCCAGTGGAATTTAATTTTTTTTTACTATTGATTCTGTGGGCATGGCTTTGTGGGTGTGGATGTGGGGGTCATGTGACTGGGTGGTTTGCACGATGGAAGGAAGATAGCAACAGTAAAATTCAAAACTGTAACAATTAATTGCACATTTATTCAAAATCCAATTNCTTTCCTTCTCTCTTGTGGATTTATCACTGAGAAAACTTGAACCAAATTCAGTCATATGGAGGGACTCCAGGACACCCTGAATTAGAAGTATGGCATTGGAAGATATCTCAAGGGCCCCAAATTGGGAAGGCTTCTTAGATTGTTTGAAACTACTGTTCCTTTAAAAAAAAAAAAAAAAAAAACCTCTCCAGGCATTTTCCATGGGAACAAGCTAGTGTAACTGGTCTAACCTGTATGCTACCCCTCACCCCCACCCTAATGCCAAGATGTTTCATACGATTTTGCCTTCTACACACTATTTGAGTCAACTAATGCTACTACTTTTACTTGGCATTGCTTTAATCTATTTCAGTTTCCTGGAAAGTAAATGTTGTATGAATATTGGAAGCAGATGCTTACAAAAATAATTTTCCTGCACTGGTCATATGGCAGTACTCAAGATGTCAGGTATTTCCAGGTGACAGTTAATATATTTAGGCAGGATACACTGCTCCTGAATATAGAAGTTTCATTCACAAGACTTTAACTGTATAAAATGTTTCATATACATCAATAAATGCTATATCTCCTTCTTACAGCTCTTTTGAAAGTCACTTTTAAAGATGTTACATTATATGCAGTTCCTGGAAATTTCATGTATATATCCTTGTCACTTCTTTAGGTAGTTCCTATCCCTGTATCTTTTGACAGCAAATTCTAAAAAATGTACCTAAACTTGATTTTAATGCATCAGCTTGAATTCTAGTATCAATCTATTATTGGATTATATTGTTATTAGACCAATTGATCACATATTTAACTAAAATATATAAATTAAAATAATGAATAAAAGAACAAACACAAATATGTTTCCCATCCTCACCAAAAGATTTTAAAAAGTTTTATTAAAAAAAGGATCATCTTAAAATCAAGCATGGGAACCAAAATATTATAGAAAGGTAAGAGTTTTTTTTCTAAAGTGTGTCTTATTAGTGAAGAATTTTTATATAGTGAAAGCATTTTGTAATACAGGTAACAAAAATATCTGTAATAATTTCTATAAGTCTTTTTCTGAATAAAAGCTTTTTTTAGGAAAGATGCTTAACCTTTTAATTGTCTACCTTTTGTCTTTTTCTATACCAGTTTTAGCCGTTTGATAATAACTTTTCGAAAATGACATATGATATTCCAAATTGTCTAGACTGTTTAAAAAATTATTTAATGGTTCATTATCTTCTCTAGGTTTCACCATTCTAAATAATTGATGGCCATTATGTGATATATCAGCTTGGCTTCCCCTCTGCATATCCTTTATGACATATTGTTGATGAATATGTGCAGTAAATTGATCTGTGGCTGGTTCCCTTTTATTAGGAGAATTATCTTTGTTCTTGATGGGGCTCCAAAATCTATTGTATTGACTTTTTCAGGATTTATGAAAATTAATCTCTTATGATTTTACCTAGGTCTGGGTCTTAGCAATAAATCTATTTCTGGAAACTCAAACCCCTAGTTCTAAAGCTAGCAACACAAAGAATCAAAGTTTCTTTTATTCCAGATACAAAATGCCCCAGGAATAAAGAAAGTCAGCTACTATACAATGATGGTTTCTATATGTGGAAGCCAATGGTTTAAATACCTTTTTCTCATTCTGCCATATGAGTGGTAATATCCTCTTTGTCAAGACTTTGTTCCCTGTGAATGTAGAGAAACTCATGCCCTATTTAATGTTCTTATCTAATTACAGACTCTCTGCTTCTGTCATTGCCGGCTTCAACTCTCTCATCATCTCAAACTGGGAAAGTGAGTTGGGTGCTATTCAAAACCTGTATGCAGTAAAGCAATTGTGAAAAGTTCAAGTCTTAGCAAAATAAATGTAATGATACTGTTCTTCCCCAATACAGTTTTTTCATTGGATGTGTAGTTTTTAGAGGGATTTACACAAATCAAAGCAAAATGACAAAAGCAGTATTGTGCCATCTTACTCAAACTTTGCCCCTTAGATATATGTGGGAAGAGTCAAAAGAGAAAACAATACATATTGTTTTCGTTTGACTCCTCCTGGCAGTACTGTACCTCTCTTACTTTTAAACTTTCCTTCTGTTTTCTTTTTCTTATGGCATTTTATATCATTTTGGTCATTTCTGTATGTTCATAGATTTGAGTTAGGGTGAGAAAGAGCACAGACAAATAAGGTAACCAGTCAGTTTACTAGCAATATGGTTGATCGAAATTCTTTTTTCCAGCTCTCTTCTTAAGGGTTTGAAGCTACACGGGCTTCTCCTTTTACACTTATTTACTATAGCCTCTAAGAATACCTCAAATTTAACTGTAAACTGGTGAAATATCTTCTGAGTCTGACTGGAAATACAGAGCTCATTTTGAGTTCTTCCCTAGAGAAACCAATCCAGCCAGTACCAGCCTGTTTAGCACTGATCCTCTTCAGTGGGTCACCCACCACTGTGGCTACTTCAGTAGGCAATTGCTACTGGATATCTTAGAGGTCTTGCCACAGGGGTCCCTTGGTAGGCCACACACCTCCCATACAGTAGCTTTGTGCTTGACTTACCTACATACTAAAATTTTTCCCTAGTGTCTCCTATTGAACGGCTTCTGGCTAACCGCATTGTCCATTTTTAAAAAAAAAATATGTTTCATTTATAAGATAAAATGTGGAAGAAACAAAACTTAGAAAAAGAAATGCATACTTTTTTGACAATACCAACAATACAGCAGCTTATAAAAGTTTTATTTCAAACTATAATTCAATGTGAATTAGTCCACT